TCATAGCACTTCTTCTGAGAAACCTCCAATTTCTCAGTCTAGTCTGGGCTCCTTATCATGTACTCTCATAACTCTGGAGCTTCTCCTCAACCGAGGTACAGGTCATGAGCTACATCTACCCAGCATCTGGGACAGATGGTGCCTTTTCACTCAGTGACTCCTTGTGGAAATGAACCCGTGTGGAAGGAATACAGAGATGGTGGGTCCTGTAAATTCTGGGTTTGGTAAGTTTTCCAAAAACTTGGATTCCAAAGGGAAGGAGAGTAACTCCATAAAGGCAAAAGCAGATTCAAAATAACAAATAGATTCAAAACAATTTTTTAAATGGGTGGGGCAGGCTTGAATATATTTGCAGAGTACTGCAAAAGAATTCAGTATAAGGAGAAATAAAATTCTGAGATAAAGATTGAGAGAGAGGGAATAACTGGTGAAGCAGGGGAGGACAGGGAACCCAGAGATCAGGTGAAAGGTCCAACTGTGCAAAGGAGAGAACTGTCTTCCGACAATGCACAGAAGACATAAGGACTGGTGGATGAATAATGGTGGGTATATTAGGAGCAACATATCAGTATTCTCTGAGAGGTGGGAAGGTGCTGTGGGTTGAGTACCTGTTAGTGTGACCTAATTCGGAAACAGGGTCTTTGTGACCGAAATCAGGTTAAGATGCAGTCATTCCGGTGGGTACCGATCCAATATGGTTAGTGTCCTTATAAGAAGAGGAAAAACACCATGTGAACACAGAGGCAGAGATTGGAGTCCTGCAGCTCCAAGCCATGAGATGCCAAGGACTGACAGCTATGCCCAGAAGCTAGGAAGAGACAGAGAAGGATTTGATCTGGATTCCTGGACAGAGGACCAAGGTGCTGTTGGCACACTGACCTTGGATGTCTAGTCTCCAGAACTGTGAGAGGATAAATTTCTGCTGTTTTAGGTCACCTAGTTTATGGTACCTTGATATGGCCCTAGGAATGAAATAAAGATTTATGATCGGTTTTTGAGAGTGATGAGTATAGCGTTGGCTCTAGGACAGCGATGAAGGGATAGAAGAGTCGCTGTGAAGGGTGACAAAGGGAGATGATGAAATTCTAGCAGAAAGCTAGCTGAATATTTCCTGAGTTTTCAAAGTCATGCTAGAGTGATTAAATAGAAAATAAAAAGGACTGTGTGGAACAATGGAAAATTCTTAGGGAAAACCCTTTTTTAAGTGATAGATTTAGCTACACCTTTCCTGTCAGCCAAGTCTAAAAAGACACAAGTCAGATACTTCTCTTTATCTTTTAAAAAGAAGTAAATGTTTCTCAAGAAGAATTAACAGTTTCTGGGTGGTAATTTCTTATTTGAAGGATTGTGCACATAATAGCAACAAATTTCACGTAAGATGTAGATTCAATTCATATTTAAGCACCTATTCTTGTCAGACCTCTATGTTACCTCACTTACTTTAATTATTACTTAATGTAGGTATTTTGTTCCCTTATTAATATGAGAAAACTGAGCTATAATGATATCAGGCAGCTATTATAGGGGCATCATCAAGCCTCAGATCAAAACCCTCTAATTCCTAACTCCTAATTCTTCTTTTCACCATACCAGAGCACTGGAAATATTTTTCAAACTGACCTTTAATAATTACTAAGAGTCTAATAAAATGTAAGTTCAATGAAGATAGTTCTTCAAGGATTTAAGTCTATGCAATCCAAGTAAATAGTTTTTTGGAAATCTATGTGTACAAAGAAGACAGTTTAGAATACAGAAGAGATGAACGGGTAAACTATCTTACTCAAATATCATTTGTCTCTGTTGCCTTTTGACAGAAGCTGTGGAGCAGTCTGTTCAAGTTAAATTCTGGCAGAAGACCTGGATTGCAAATATCAGGCATTATTGTTTGAAGGAAGGCTCACATGATCTGAATAGCAGAATGCACAAGGCAAGCTTAACATTCTATTGAAAGTTGCAAAGGCTGACTTGTGTCCTTGCCTTTATAGAGGGTCATCTCACCTCTATATCCTAATTAAAAATTCATTGAGTGAAGGAGTTAATTAAAAATTCTATATTAACAATATTAGCTCAGAAATCATGTAACAGATACTACTTTGTGGCTCTTTAGAGAAGCATAAACTTTCCTAGCCTTGCTGCCATTGAACATTCTAATTTCATTGCCTGATCTGAAGGTCAAGGGCATGAACTTGATGAAAAACACCCTCCTTCAGGGAATCATTGGAGGAAGCGTGCCCCCAGTTCATCACCAGGGATCACAGAGGAGAGGATACAAACGGTGCATGAAGCATACTTGCCCTTCACTGACCCTCAAGGCACCCTGTGGCTCCATATGTCTCTGACCAAGTTTACAGCCTTCCATTGCCCTTGGCGATTATTGTGATGCACCCGGGGAGAAAGATGATCTCAGGTAGCCAGGATGCAAACTGTGCAAAATTCTTGAGATCACAATCAACCATGCTGACTATTTACATGCAGTACCAACCATGTGCATGATTTTTATCTGTGGGATCAGGAACCACACCGATAAATATCATCCGGCGCAGCTTTTGTACCACATCTCCTGGGCATTAAGATAGGAACTGATAGGAACCCCACAGAGCACGTGGATTGTATAACAACATATTTTCTTTGCAGCAGATCTGAAAAGCAGCGTTGGATAAGCTCAACATTTGATTAAATCAGAATATCTAATAAATTATTAAAATAAAAAAACACCACATGCAGGCTTTTTGAAGCCTCTGAAATCTCAGCTGGAATATAAATATCTCCTCAATACTCACAAATGCTTCCAGAGCTAAAATCATGCTGTCAACTACTCCTTTAGTGTAACTCTTTTATAATAGCAATAAATTGTACTTGAATTTTAAAAGAGGACTTTGACGTTTATTTTAAAAGTTCACGTACTTTTTTTTTTTTTTGCTCTGGATGGTTTCTCTTTTTCTTGGTGCTGTGGGGAAGGGGCAAAGCACAGATTAATGGGGAAGAGATAGATGAGTCTGGGATATTCCACTGATACATTATCCTAAAATGCCAAACATATTTATTCTTTCTTGCATGAAATACGTGAGCTAGAATAAAGAGTAGGTAAGAGAAAGTCAAAAAGACAGAGAGGGAGAAATGAGAGGGCCAAGTGGGTGTGACACGTTTCCATCCAAATCAAATAAATGGGATGGAAATGATACAAATGATACAACAGAAATATCAATACTGTTTAGTTGATGTATGACATTGCAAATAACCTTCAAGAGATGGAATTATCCAGGCAAGATGGTTGTTATTGGAATTACTAGAAAGTTTCATAAAGAAAATTGGAGAATAATTTAGGGTAAACTTATTAGCTTTCCTGTTAACAACATGAAAAACTGGTGAAAGAGAAGTAGTTCAGTGACAATACAAGTTAAATTCATTACCTTTTTCACAATTAGAAGTAGGAGAATCATTAAAGAAAAATATCAGAGGGAGACAAAATTTCCAGAATAATCTATCGTGAAAAAAAATTTAATTCAGAGTACATAGCCTTTTGACCTTAATTCCCCTGACTGGGTTAAAAAATTATGAGCAGGCTAGACTATCCAGCTGATGACTTGGGGAAGGAATGCTGTTATTTTTAACTAGGAAAATCCATAGTCATCTGTGCTGAACAAAGAAGACTGATAGTCCTGTTCTGCGTTTTCCCTGCATCTGGAGTCTGAACTTGGCTGACTCCAAATTAGGAAGAAATATCCTTGACTTTAACACAACTTTAGAATCAGTGAAGGGTCCCTGTTAGCCACAACATTTAAGTTTTTACTTATAATATTAAGGCACTGACACATTTTCTAAGAAGACATGAAGGAATAAGACCCCAAAGAGTTGTCTGATGAAGGGGACTCCTACTCTGAATAAGTATTTTCAGTAAATTATTAAATGATGCCACAAATGATAGTCCCAGAAGCCACAAAATGAGCCATCACCTAGCTCTACACAAATAACTAACTGCCCTGCAGTAAGTTTTGACCTTTAGAAGAATACTATAAAATACAATCAGTTGTGCAAGTTTATTGCTCATTCCTGGTTGCTTATGTTTTATTTTCAAAGATCTATAGCTTGAGGTAGTAGGTTCTGCAAAGAGAAAATCAACTACTTTTTGTAGAATTCGCCCTTAGAGTCTAAATTTACACGATTACAGTCTACAGCCTTTAGCTTAACATTGTGAAGGAGCTCTATTTATTTTAGTTCACCACATTTAGGTATGCTGAGGCCATGCTGCCTTTTGGTGAGTGCTGTAGACTGAACTCCCTCATGGCAAAATTCATACGCTGAAGTCCTAACCCACAGTACACATATATTTGGAGGTTGGATCATCAGAAGGTAATTATGGTTAAGTAAGAGCATAAGGGTGGGGCATTAACCCATAGGACTGTGGCCTTATATGAAGAGAGAGAGAAATACATGTCTCTCTCTCTCCATCATGTGAGGACATAGAAAGTGGCTGTCTGCAGGTCATGAAGAGGGTTCTCACCAGAGACCAATTCAGCAGCACCCTTGATCTTGGACGTCCCAGCCTCTTGAACTGTGAGAAGTGTCTGTTGTTTAAGTCACCCAGTCGAGGGTACTTTGTTATGGCAACTGAAGCTTATTAAGACAGTAAGACTCAGTCTACCTTCTTGCCCCTTTTCCTAGGGCATGGCCCTCCAGGGCATTAAGTCAGAGCTTGCCAAGTTTTTGTTTCCTCAGCACTAAGCACTAAGAGAGACGATGGGCAAGTCGGCTCTGCTTATAAGAGATTTAGGTTTAGACTTATAAGTTCTTGTCATAGACAAAGGCAGAATTAGTGAAGGCTTGGGTGGTGAACTCGTGTTTGAGGCTCCCGAAGTCTCCAGTTTTTGTCAGTCCTGCCCCGGCCCAAATGCCGACAGTTTGCCTTTATCTTTGCTCAAGGCATAGCCTCTGACTGGGCCAACCCCAGCTCTCAGTGTCTGGCCCCACCCAAAATTGGTAAACACCCTCAGGGAAGAACTCCGGCCCTCAGCTCAACTCTGAGAGGCTCTCCGCTCTCTGGAATTTCAGTCCTTCAATTCCCTTTACTTCTAAGCCCTTGGATACTTTAAAAAACTGTGAGTTTTGTATTTTATCTGACTTCTCTGATTGTTCTTGGTAGAAGCATTGAGCTATTGTGCTGGTTCTACAGCTAGTTGTGTGAAATTGCAGCACTGACTTAAACTCTCTCTCTCTCACCCTCTGTTTCCACATTATAGAATAGAAGCAATAATAGTACCTACCATCTAGGATTTTTATGAAGATTCAGTGAAATCCAATGCACAATACTTGTGTCAATAAGAACTAGTACTTGTTTACAACTATTACTAAGTTGGAAAAGTTACATATTCTAAGTTGATTTCCTTATGCACAGCAAAAATGAACATAATATCTGTCTCATAGGGTATGCAGAAGGATTAAATAAAAATGAATGTTAGCATATGTGAAAATATAGTACTCTTTAGTACTCTGGTCACGTGGCTATTCAATAATTAGTTTACTTCCCATCTTGGAAACTTTCCCTGAGATAAAATAAGATTGTTTAAATTTCAACTCCTGCTGGTTTACTTCATATGGATTCAGATTTTTAAAGCACAGACCATATCTTACACATCTTCGTATCCCCAGTACCTGGCCCAGAGCCCATCATGCCAAAGCATATTTGTTGAAAGCATGAATCAGTGAATACTGACTTATAACTCTCTAGTTCATATTCACTCCAGTTCCCAGCACATCTCCTCGTTCAAAGTAAGAGCCAAGTAAATATTTGTTGAATAAATTATTCAGTTATAAAAAAGCTTAATAGTTTGTTCAGGGATAATATCAATCTTTTTCTCCACCAGATTTAGGACACAGTGATTTTCATCTGGACAATCATCTACTTGGTTCTGGTAAATGTGGTCTGGGGGTGACAGAGGACGTGCGGCCAAGAATACTTCCTCATCAAATATGTAATCTTCACTCCTATTTATCAGTTTTGGTCACCAAATTCATTTTCATATTCTCCCTGATTATAGAATCATGTAGCAGGAATGTAAATTCAGATGATGGGGCAGTGTAGCTGGATTCAGAAAGCAGAAGCCAGATGGTTTTAACCCTGGACGATTAAAACCTAAAATAACAATTAAAATCTTTCTTTTTAAAGTGCACTCTTACTCATAATATGAGAGTTTAGCAATCACAGGATGGATACAAATATGCTCCACTTAACTAGGAAAATAATCTACAGCATTATTAATTGCCATGTGACTGTTAAAATAAAAAAATAACATTTAATGGTTTTTATAATATGCTTGGTATTGTGGTGCACACTTCCGGAACATTATCTCAGTTAACCTCACAGACACAACTTCCATGGATAGGTTCTATTGGGGGCCTGCTGCATAGCTGAAGACACTGAAATAGTAAGCATTTGAGAACTTGCCCAAGGACACACAGACAGTATGTGGGGGCACACCTTTACCTGGTCTGGCTGTCTCCTGTTTTCCTAAATATTAGCCCTGCTACAGTGGTTCTCTCCTATCAGAACCAATGCCCTCTTTTAAAAATGACTAACTGGTGATGTCTTCTTTACTATCCTGAAATCAAATTCGCAGACAATATAAGCTCTCTATGCACATAACAAGAAAAGCCAAAATTCCCCAAAATTCAAGGAAAGTAATTTTTAATGAAATAATACGTATTTCACTATGTAAATGCTTTGATCTGATTACATGACAAGACATCATGAAGTGGTCAAATGCTTACACCCATCATGATGAACGTGTCAGCTATAAAAAGCGGAATTGTAGTAGTGTGTCTTATCAGCAACTCAAATACCCATTGTGGCACTGCCATTAATGAAGGGGTTTTTCCAAAACGGTTAAGAATTTTTTAGTAAAGTTTCAAACTAAACAAAGTACAGTCTTCCTTCTATTTGCACTTGTGTTGCATTCCTGGAAAATTCAGTTTACCTAAAAAGCATGTGAAAGACTTTGTGTTTACATGTAAAACATGAGATAATTATAAGTAGGCTACATACATGAATGACCAGTGGGACCCTGGGAAGTCATGAAGGATGAGGAGTAGGTTTTCCTCGTGCAGGATGGCCCCCTCCTGGCAGGATGCCTAGGACTCCTGGCCCTCACTCATTAATTCCAGGAGCACCCTCCAAATCATTGTGAAATCCACAAAAACAACTCCATAAGTTTCTAAACTGCCCATGAGGGTGGGTGGTCCTGGCCCAAGTGAGAACGATCACTCTATTAAATGCTGAAAAGAAACTAGCGTTGCAAAACCAAGGGAAATTACATAGCGCCTGATGAGCTAATGGAATATGGGACAGAACTTTAATAATGTAATTAATTACTGAGTGGTATTTAAGGGTAGACACAGAAATAGGGTTTAGAAAGAATGACATTTTAGGAATGAAGAATAAGCACTTTCAGGAGAGACTGAAGGACGACCTCTTAAACCTACCCCCACAATTGCTTCAGGTTCTTCTAATACCCTGTCATAGCATCCCATAGCATCCCATCTACATGCTTTCTGATACCCATGATGACTGTCATTTACTAGGTAGTTATCTGTGATTTATTTAATGTGTGTCTCTCCTATTAGCTGATTAGTTTCAATATCTATATTACTTACTGAATATCACCAACATACGTAATATTTGTACAAATAATTTTTATAGAATTTATACCAAAAAATATTTGTAAAATGAATGTTTTGAGATGCTTGTTTGCAGGTTTTGGAGTAGGATTCCGAGAGGTTTTATTGGCATGGCCTTGATTCTGGTAAATATATTTGAGGTCTAGAAACTGATTTTTCTAGCAAGTTGAAGGCTGGCAAATTAAACACTGGATATTTAGCAGTGGTTTTGCAAGCATAGCTCTAGTGCCACCTTCTGCCAGGCAAAGAAATACGCTCAGATCATTTGCATTCTGAGAATCTGGATGTGATGCTCAGTTCTTTATGCTTAAATTAAATATTTAAAAACTTAAAATAATGGGGGATCTATATATTCCCATTTAAAAATGCAAATCTTGGGCACAAATAATGCTGACTGAAGCGAACAAAATTCCTATATTCAATGCTTGAGATACAGAAAGTTTTCTTAGAGAAGAGAGATTTAGTACTTTTGTCTTACTGATTCAATGTCATTGTACATAAAGCATAAAATTATTACAAAACGTCCCAATTACTTTGAAAGCCTATGTACAGGTACTTGCTACAGGCAAGCAGCTTTGTAAGTAGAGTTCTCATGGAAGTTATTAAGGCTAGTATTATGCAGGCAACAGTTTTAACTCTAGTATCTCTGAGAACATTTGACCAGAAGTTTTGCATATCAAGTAAGACTTTCACCTACCATAAAAATAAAACCCATGTTTCTTTATATATATTCATGATAACCAGGCAACTTGAAATGTTCATTTTCTCTTGTAAGAGAGTATCTTCCCTTTGTGTGGCACTTTTTTTTTGTTAATCTACATGCTATTGTGCATTTTATGAATAAACAATAATATTCCAAGACACTAATGGGATCGGGTATTGGTATGGGACACTGTTACATGGCAGGTGTCTGTGTGCTGCATAAATGGAGGAACCATTTTCAATATTTATTCCACATGGGAAGGAAGAGACAACTTCAATGGAAAGAGGGTCAAAACCCTTTTCTTATGCAGAAGCACAGGGCAAAGGCTGGTAAACCTTTTCTTCCAAATATCAGTTAACAAACATTGCAGACTTTGGGGCCATGAAATCTCTATTACCACTACTCAACTGTGAAGCTGTAATTTGAAAGAAGCCGTAGCCGTAGACAATGTATAAACAAATAAGCATGGCTGTGTTCCAATAAAACTTTATCTGCGAAGAGAAACAGTGGGCTGGATTTGGCTTGTGGGTGGTAGCTGCCAAGTCCCAGTGCAGGGCTTTGAGAAGGCAGCTTCAGAATGGAAAACTGTTTTGGGGAGCACCAGAGGGCTTGCTCTAAGAAGAGAGGCGGGGCTCCAGCACCTGGTGTGCAGGGTGGAGGGAAACAGGGCCTTCACGATGAGTCGGCAGCTACAACCCGCCCTGTGATGGAGGGGATACATAAGGCTAAGGCCCCACTGCGTTCAAAACTGCTAGGGACGCAGATGGACACATAAGGAATGTAATAGCCAAAGAGTCAGCAACCAACCAAGTGCTAACGGAGAACTGGGGGTAAAATAAAATAAAACCCACAAGCCTCTGTAGGAGCAACGGGAAGCAGGCTTCCCTCTAGTTGGTCTCTGGGGTCAGCCTCAGGTTCCTGAGACACTGCCCTTAGCAGGCGTCATTTCAGACCGTCGTCACACAGGTTTTTGATTTTTAGTTCAGAAAACACGGTCATCCTTCATTCCTTTATCACATACTCTGGGTCAACTGTATGTCAGGCAATGTTCTAGGCAGGCAAACACTGCGTCCCGTCGGGAGGGTAGGGGTAGGCAATGAGCCTGTTGGCAAGTAAATGCGCAGCATAGCCACTCTCTACCTTTCCACCTGAAGGAACTCTTGAAATAATCTTCAGGTCTCAGGAAACCACAGCCCCAAAATTATTATATCTGCAGCTCATTGTATGTTAGCAGGGTCATGAACTTGTAGATATGGTAATCCGAGAATAAAAATAAAATTCTCTATCTTTTGATAGAGAAGGCTATTTTCTTGTGGACCTATTTTAGCCAGCCTAATAGCCTCTTCCTTTTGTTTGGTACACCCTTCCCACCGAGCATATAAACCCCATAAAACAAGTCAGTAATTGTAGGTAGAGGAACTCAGTTTCTCTTTTCTATTAAAAAAAATTACCTATTTGATTTTGCATGTGTTTGTGTTTTTAAGCCTTAGCCAAATGGCCTATGTATTAATTCCCTATTGCTGCTGTAACAAATTACCACAAACCTAGAGGCTTCAAATAACACAAATACATTATCTTACTGTTCTGGAGATCAGAAATCCAAAGTGGGTCAGCAGGCCTGTGTGTCTTCTGGAAGTTCTAGGAGAGAATCCATTTCGCTGCCTTTTCCAGCCTTTAGAGATGGCCTGCATTCCTTCACTGATGGCCTCTTTCTCCTTCATC